GAATGGATAAGGAAAATGTGGTACATTTACACAATGGAGTCCTACACAGCAGGAAAAAAAATAACGACAGCTTGAATTTTGCAGGAAAATGGATGGAGCTAGAAAACATTATTTTGAGTGAGGTAACCCAGACACAGAAAGACAATTATCACATGTACTCACTCATAGATGGTTTTTAAACATAAAGCAAAGAAAGCCAGCCTACAAACCACAATTCCCAGAGAACCTAGACAACAATGAGGACCCTAAGAGAGATGTACATGGATCTAATCTACATGGGAAGTAGAAAGTATAAAAAGACAAGATCTCCTGAGTAAATTGGGAGCATGGGGACCTTGGGAGAGGATTGAAGGGGGAGGAGAGAGGCAGGGAGGGGAGCAGAGAAAAATGTAGAGCTCAATAAATATCAATAAAAAGATAGCATTTATATCAGAGAGTAGAAGCATTGTTCAACAACTGCCATTGGGACAATCAGCAATCCACTTGGAAGGAGAGGAATCCAAATCCACATCTCATCCAAAAATAAGTTTCAGATACACTAAAGAGCTTAACATTAAAATAGAACTAGGGAAAAAATAGAATATTTTCAGAGCCTTATGATGTGGGAGTGTCATATATCAATCTGTTTATTTCATTGGTTAAGCAATAAAGAAACTTTTTGGCCCTGATAGGTTAAAACATAGGTGGGAGGAGTAAACAGAATAGGATGCTGGGAGGAAGAGGAAGTGAGCTCAGACTCTGCTCTGCTCTCCCAGGGCTCTGCTCTCCCAGGCAACTCCGACCCAGGATGGACGTAGGCTAGAATCTTCCTGGTAAGTGCACCTTGGGGTGCTTACACACATTATTAGAAATGGGCTAAATTAATATGTGAGAATTAGCCTAGAAGAGGCTAGACAGAAATGGGCCAAGCAGTCTTTAAAAGAATACAATTTGTGTGTTGTTATTTCGGGCATGAGCTAGCAGGCTGCCAGGGTGCTGGGGACACAGCCCCGCCGATCCTATTTCAACAGCCTTATGTTAAAGAAAGTCTCCTTAGGGTGACTGGAGAGATGGCTCAGAGCTTAAGAGCACTGGTTGTTCTTCCAGAGGTCCTGAGTTCAATTCCCAGAAACCACATGCTGGCTCACAATCACCTGTAATGAAATCTGAACTCTTCTGGCCCGAAGGCAATGTACCTTTTTTAAAAAGGCATCCTTAATAAAACTTATGGCAAAAAAAAAAAAAACAACCAATTGGACAGGCTTCCCCTGAAATATGTAGCATGTCTGCAGACTCAGAAGCAGCACCCTGGTTCTCCCACTTATTATCGGGGAGGTAGTCTCCTTACTTGACCTTCCTTTCTGTTTCAAAGTCCCTCATTTGTGAACCAGGGTAACAGTGACAAGAGCCTTGTGGGGACACACACCTCTAATCTCAATACTTGGCAGGCTCCCCACTGTCCTAGGTCGGCCTGGTTTAGCTTGATCTTGACATAGGATTTAGTGAGATCCTATGTCAGAAGAACAAAAGGAAAAACCTTAATGAAGTAATTCATGTAAAGCACTTTTGAAAGACCTCCGGAGCAGGGAGACTCTCACTCAAGTCTTGGGATAACACAGCCCCCCAGGAACTCACACGAGACTGTCCTTGCTACAATTACACGAGGTTTATTGACAGGACAGGAACCATTGCACTGGAGCTGAAACCCATTTCCCACGCATGGGTAGAGAGTTTGACCCCAGTAGCTGGGAGAAGGGGTATTTAAGGGAAGAAACCACCAAAGCGGGTAGGAAGGGAGTCATTGGAAAATTCCAAAAATACCAGTGATCATTGAAAAACTCCAAAAATACCAGTGATAATCACAAGGGGGGGTAACTCCCTGTTTCTCAAGTCAAGATTATAATCTAACTTTCTCTTCAGATAATTCCTGAAACAGAGTCACTGAACCGCTTAATCTAGATTTTTGATTCTTCTCTCCCTGCTTAGATTTTTGGCTTTTTTTTTTTTCTAGAGTGGTCTGGATTTTTGTGAACACTCAGTGAAGACTAGCTGTGGATGGTATTACCACAACTCCCGAGTGGAAAAAAGGGACATTTAAAAAAATAAAACACAAGCCACGTGTTAGGAATCATTTGCTACACTATGGGGAGACAAAGGGTTAATGGCTACAATACGCAAGGAACCACCACAAATCAATGAAACTGTCCAAACAATATAGAGGATATAAAGAATATAGAGAAGTAGTTCACAGAAGAAATTCAAATGGGCAATATTCATATATTACAAACTTTACTAATAGTGAGGGAATGTAAACTGAAGCCCATTGCTAGCTAGTGTGACAGAATACACTTTCGAGGTAGAGGCAGGAAGATGGGGAGTTCAGGACCAACCTGGGCCAGAGATGGCTCCGTAGTTAAGAGCATTCACTGCTCTTGCAGAGGACACGAGTTCAATTCCCAGCTCCCACATCAGGCAGCTCCCAGCTCCCTGTAACCCCAGCCCCAGGACTATCCAGCACTCTGGCCTTCATGGGCACCTTTATTCACTTGTACAAACCCACAATCAGACCACACACATGCACATAATTAAAAAGAAAACTTAAAAGTAGGGCATGGTGGTGCTCTCCTTTAATCCCAGCGCGTGAGGAGGCAGAGGCAGGTGGATCTCTGTGAGTTCCAGGCCAGCCTGGTCTACAGAGTGAGTTCCAGGACAGCCAGGGCAGTCAACAATCAAAAACAAAAAAATAACAAAACAGAACTCCTAGTCTAACCCAACCAATCAACCAAGGAGAATCCCAATAATATTTAAGTGTCATTCATGTCATTTACCCCTTTCTTCCTCCTCTTCCCTCTCCCCTCCCTTCCTTTATTACTGGTAATATGTTGGTGAAGGTTACACTGTAATCCCCCCCCCCCCCCCGACAAGATTTCTCTATGTACCATCCCAGGCTGTCCTGGAACTCACTTTGTAGACTAGTCTGGCCTGAAACTCAGAGTTCTGCCTGCCTCAGCCTGCCTTCCCGCCATCCCATCAACCCCCCCATCCCCTACTGGGGTTAAAGGCATGTGACACCACCATCCAGCTATAAATGGTAAATTAAAAAAAATACTTTTGGTAGTAATTTGGTGACATCTGTTCAAAAAAGAAAAGAAAAGAAAAGAAAATCAGCGGGTCCTGCAATCCCAGCTCCCGTCCCCACCAAANATTGGTAACTGTTGCCCAAATTCCAGTCAACACATCAATTTCTAGCCTTCAAGGGACAAAGGAGAGTCACAGAAAATGTTTGGCCATCGTGGTAACAAGAGTTGGAACCACTGTCAAAGAAAGCAAATGGATCCAGACGGGCTGATGGCGAGCACCTGCAACCCTACACTCTGGAAACAGGACTGAGAAGTTCCAGGAGTCTCAGGACAGCAATTTTCATATAAAAAACTAAAGAAATAAAAGCTCAGCCAGGACACATTAACTTGGCAGTGGAACTAACTTCTATTGCTCCAGTGAGCTGCTGAACTTGGCAAACCAACCCCAGGATATGACCTGCAGTCCTTAGGAAACAACAGCAACCATTACCCCAATACCACACATATAGAAATGCCATGGTTCTTGTATTTGAGTGTTTTGCCTGCAGGTATGTCTGTGCACCATATGTGTGCTTGGTGCCAGTGGAGGCCAGAAGAGAGCGCCAGATCCTCTGGAACTGGAGTTACAGCCAGCTGTGTGCTGCCACTCGGATGCTGGGAATCAAGCGCTGGTCCTCTGAAAGGGCAGTGTGGGTAACTGCTGAACTCTCTCTCCAGCATATACCCCAAGTTCGGGTACAGGATGCTATGAGCAATGTTTAGTTAGGTCTGTGGTCATGGTCTGACAACCTTGGGCATCCCTTCCAAGTCTGGTCTGTTGGTCCCTTGGAGACCTTTTAAAAGATGGTGATGAGGAGGACTGGGATGTTTTTCATCTGTGGTGAGAATAAAGGTCAGAGGGCAGCAGAAAGATTTGAAGTTAAACATGGGAAACACATCCTGCTGTCTGGATTCATGGTAACAACATCCTCAAGTTCCTCCTTGTAGAATTAGCCTCTAGTGGCAAGGGACTAGTTTTGAAAGTTAGCAGTAGGGCTGGGGAAGCAGACCAAGATTTGGTTCCTAGCACCCACAAGGTGGCGCACAGTGGTTTATAACTCCAGTTCCAGAGGCTACAAGGCCCTCTTCTGGCCTCAGCGGGCACCAGGCATGCACCACCAGAGGTACAGACAAATGTAGACCAAACACTTAATATTCATTCTCATTCTCTCTCTGTCTCTCTGTCTCTCTCTGTCTCTGTCTCTCTCTCTCGTTTATCAAGATAGGCTTTCTCTGTGCAGCCCTGGCTATTCTGGAACTCACTCTGTAGACCAGTTTAGCCTCGAACTTAATAGAGATCCTCCTGTCTTTGCCTCCCAAGAGCTGGGACTAAAGGCGTGCGCCACCACAGCTGGCTTGGAACTCACAGTGCAGACCAGGTTACCTTCAAACTTGTAGAGATGTGCCGGCCTTTGTATCTGGAGTGCTCCGCCTAAATGCCCTCAGGCCCGGCACAACCATACACGTTAGAAGGAAGGAGTAACCAGCTCTTTTAACATCAAACCATGTCTCCAGTCCATTCATAGTTCTCTTATTAACGGCCCAGTCAGTGGGGTGACTATTGCTAATCACTGTTGTTCACCTAATTCTGCTCACACTTTATAAAAATGATGGTCTTTAAATGATGGATAATTCACATTGCTATTAGTATTATGAATGCTCCCTTCCTACCGCGGAAAAAAATTCTCTTATCTACTTTCAGATCTCTGACTGTCGATTTAACCCCTTGGTGATGGTGGTGGGCTCATCCACTATCTTGAACTAAAACTTCCATGAAGCAACGGGCAAAACCTCCGTGAGCTGACGGGACATCCAACCAATCCAATGGCAGGGCTCTTAGTCAGCGACCTATTGGCTCTTTGTAGAGGCGGGACTCTCAGTTGCTAGGCTGGTGCCTTTCCGGAAGTGGTTGCTGGTCGCTGCAGGGCAACACCCCGGCGTCCCTGGAAGCGGGGAGCCGGACACCCCGGCGTCCCTGGAAGTGGGGGGCCGGGGTGGTGCTGGGGAGGCGGCGCAGAGCCATCGCCCAGGGAACCCCAGGTTGGGGACAGGTGAGACCTCTTCGGAGCCTGGGTTGGTGGCGTGGCGGGCAAGGAGTTTGCAGGGAGCTGAGGTGCTGCGAGGTGTTGATGCGCGGGAACTGAGGTGGGAGAGGAGAGCCCTCGGGCGTGCGCGGCCTGGCTTTCTAACGTCTCCTGAAAATACCCCCCGCACCCCCATCCCGCTCCTCCTCTTGTAACCCACAACTGGGCTATTCCAAGCTCGATCAAGCTCTTGGCATCTTTTGGCCAGATGGGCAAGAGGCGAAGTTTTGGGTTTTCTTTGCACTGATTTAGGAATCTCCTCCCGAAACCGCTGCCCTCTTCTTGGCCTCGGTGACTTGCTCCCGTGCGTGTGCCAGCTCAGCCCTCTTGCAGGCCCCTGCTTGCTTCTCATAGGACTTTAGCTTTGGGGATTGATTGCACCCAGAGCTTCAGTTACCCGCTGCTCAGCAAAGTACTTTGCTGCCCGGCCTGATACCTCCTTCTCGAGCTTAGATCTGCTTATGGATCGTCTCCGACTTTCTCTGGACTCCATATCAATCTGTCGCGTGTTTTCTGTCTCAGTGGAGAGCTTCTCCAGTTATTTAGGCCAGTCTACGTTGGGAATTCATTCTAGTGCCCGCAGCACGCAATGTTTGTCATGCATGTCTCGGATTCTAGGCAGTCTGCTGTGGGGTTGCTTCATGGCGAAGGCCTAAAATCACAATGCACTGGCTGAAATCCTCTTTGCTTTCTCTCTTCTCTCCCTTCACCTAGACTGCAAGATCTGCGTTCTCCTGTACTCCGGATTGGTCCCTTCTTTTCTTTTAGGTAGCCACTGATGGTTCATAATTTCTCGGTTGTGCCTCTGTTTTTGCCCGTCTCTGATTAGTTCCTTTGTAGCCATCAGACACCTTTCTCGACTGTAAATCTCATCACTTCGGCCTCCTTTATGAAATTCTTCTGACAGCCCTTTATGAAGCCCTGCATATAGCTTCAGCCCTCCCAAGCCCGGCTGTTGGAGCTGCTCCTTGCCTTCCATTCAAGCAGTCTATTTCAAAAGTGGGGGAGGCGGGGCGTCTGTGGCCCCTAGTCTCCACCCCTTCCCTCCAAGCCACTTTGCCCTTGTTCTCGGTGTTCCTTCTTTAAATTCTCTTGCTTTGGGGGCTGGTGAGCTCAGATGGTAGTTTTCTCTGTAAGCATGTCTTGTGAAAGCCAGGCATGGTGGTTCATGCTGTAACCTCAGTGCTAGAGATATAGAGTCAGGTGGATCCCTGGCACTGGAGTTACAGGTGGTTGTGAGCTGAGAAGGGTCTTAGGTCCTTTGGAAGGGCACCAAGTGCCCTTAACTGCTAAGCCATCTTGGCAGCCCCAGCCCCTCTGGTTTTATTCCTTCTCTTCTGGCCTCCTTTTTCAGTCTGTTCTGGAAACGTGAAGTTCTCTGTGACAGAGGCCACATCTTCGGCATGGCTTTGCCCTCATCTCTGTTACTTTCCTGCTGGGACACAGAGCTTGTACGTGTGCTGCTGCTACTATGTTAGAACTTGTTTCCTAATGTCAGTAAATACCCGTTCGTCCTCCAGGTCTCAGTGTCGGCACCATTAATTAGGCTCGGGCTCAGGCTCATATCTTAATTCATATGAAATAATACTCTTCTATGTTTTCTTTGTGTGTGTGTGTGTGTGTGTGTGTGTGTGTGTGTATGTACAACTTGAAGTGTTTTTTCCTTCCACCAAGTGCTTCTTGAGGATCAAACACAGGTTGTTAGGCTTGGTGGCAAGTACCAAGTGGTACTTGCTGGCCTCCTCCCCCATCTTTTCTCTCTCCCTTCCTTCCTTCCTTCCTTCCTTCCTTCCTTCCTTCCTTCCTTCCTTCCTTCCTTCCTTTTTTTTTTTTTTTTTTGTTTTTTGAGACAGGGTTTCTCTGTAGCTTTGGTGTCTGTCCTGGAAACTAGCTCTTGTAGATCAGGCTGGCCTCGAACTCACAGAGATCCGCCTGCCTCTGCCTCCCAAGTGCTAGGATTCAAGGTGTGTGCCACCACCACTTACCCGGCTTCTTTCTTTCTCTTTTTCTTTTGAGACAGGGCCTTAAAATAGCCTTGGCTGTCCTTGAGCTCCCCTGGCTGAGGACGACCGTGAACTTGGGATTCTGTTCGCACCTCCTTGTGCTGAGGTGGTGGGCCTGCCTAGTTCAGTTTTGGAACTCTTATCTGGGACTGTCTGACTTAGCAGCAGTTGCTGGGGAAGAGTGATAGCTGAATCTGTTTAATGCCACGCAAGTCCAGTGCCTAGAGGGAAACTTGATAAGTGCTCCACAGAAGTTTTTCCATCTCAAAAGCGACCTCCGTGAGCTCTCAGGGAGGTGTGCGCTCTTTGTGCACACCTTCCCTGCCTCGCTTCTCTGTGCCCTCCTGCTTTGGCCTCTCCTTGCCACGTTTCTCTGACGCCGGGAAAGGTATAGTACAGCCCAAACAGATTCCTGGCAGGAGACTTGTCTGAAATTTGGAAAACCCATGGATTCAGATTTTTCAGTTTCCTCCTGGCCTGTAGGTAATTACATATAGATAATTCTGTTTATAGTCAGTTGTCCCCGGCTTGTTTTCTGTTGTGAAAAACACCAACAACAAGGCCTCTTGGGGGGAAAAGGGTTTCTCTTGCCTTACAGCATACAGTGCATCATGAAGGGGCATCAGGGGAGGAACTCAAGCAGGAGCAGAGGCAGGGACCATGGCGGAGCAATGCTTGCTTTCCTGGCTCACTCTTCATGGCTTGCTCAGCTCAGCTACTGCTGTTTCCTTTCTTTCTCTTGTTCTTTCTTTTTTTAAATTTTTTTAGGGTGTCTCTATGTAGCCCTGGCTGTTCTGAAACACCCCACGCAGACCAGGCTCCACCTGCCTATGCCTCCCTGGTGCCGATAGTAGAGGCATGTGCCTCTACACCTGGCTTTAGCTACTTTTCTTATCTAACCCAGGACCCTGTGCCCAGGGCTGGTACAGAACACAGTGGCCTGAGCCTTCCCACATCCATCATCAATCAAGACAATGTCCCGCAGACATGTCCACAGGCCATTCTGATGGAAGCAGCTCCTCAGCCGAGGGGCCTTCTTCCCCGAGGACTCTAGCTTGTGTCCAGCTGACAAAACCTAAACCACATTTGAGGCTTGTTTGCTCTTCCCTCTGAGGACTCCAGTTGTTCCAGGTTGTTGATCTCTGCAGATGGGAGGTAGGGATAAGTCACACTTCTCAGACGCAGAATCTCTCAGCTTGTGTGACAGGGTCAGTACAGTGCTTGCGAGGCTGTGTCTGAGAAGCGCTTCTTCACCTTGTGTTTGGGTCATTGTCCTCTGTCTGTGGCCCCTTCCTTTTCTCTTCCCCTCTTTCCAATTAAGAGGATTAATGACTCAGGTGACCCCATTTGTGCCCTGCTTTCTGTCCTTCTCTGTTCTCCTTTTCAGAGTGAGTGGCAGTCAGGCCCTTCCCGTCTCTGACTCAGTGCAGTGGCATGGGTGTAGTGTCTGGAGGGTGGTCTGACTTCTGAGGTGGGGAGCATTTTCTCTCAGCTTGCAGGGAAATCCCCTCCCCCCATTTTTTTTTCATTGCTTAGAGGGGGCATGGTGGGAACGAGTAGGACGGAGTCTGGTTCTCTTGGGGATCTGGTGGACTGAAGAAGGGACCAGTGTCGTGATCACAGAAGGCCACAGTCATAGGTCTTGATGGGTTGTCTGTTGGACATCCTAAGGATCTGGGAACATCTCTAAGGATCTGGGATAGATGCAGAGTTGCCAGGTTCCTGGTCATTCCCCCCCCAGGCCTGGCCACTTTGACCTTTCTAGTGGGCAGAGGGGAAAGAGGAGTGTCTTTGCTGTCACAGCAGGACTTTGCATGCTCATTGTCCCAGCTGCAACAGTCAGGTTTCTGAAGGAGTGAGCAGGAGAGGCCAGGCCCTGATGTGCTGGTCACACCCGGGTGGCTGACTCAGGCGGGGATGGCCTTGACAGCCTGTTTGTTTCTGCTTTGTTAGTTTTCCGTGTGTGAGCTGCTGTGGGGAAGGTTGATAGAACTGTGGGGTCCAGAGCTAGAGGTGAGACCAGGGCCAGGAGGAAAGGCCCAGTCCCAGCCTTGTATGAGGCTCTCCAGCACTGTCAACATGCAAACTAAGTAACACACGGTATTATACGTAGAGAACAACTCTAGTTGTCAGTCAAGAACTGGTGCCGCTGCATCTCTGGCCTGGAAACCTTGGCTTCAAAGTAAGCGCCTGTCATAGTCAGCTTGAACTGATAGATGGAGGCTTAAACAATGGGGATCCAGGCTGGAGAGATGCTCAGAGGTTAAGAGCACCGACTGCTCTTCTGGAGGTCCTGAGTTCAATTCCCAGCAACCACATGATGGCGTACAACTATCTGTAATGAAATGTGGTGCCCTCTTCTGCAGATATACATGCAGGTGGAACCCTGGATACATAATAAATAAATAAATCTTAAAAAAATTACGAAACCAAACAAAACAACAGCTGGAAGTCACAGATCAAGATCCTCCCTAACTTCTGCCTTGCACATGGCTACCATCTTGCTTTGTCTTCATGTGATGGAGTGAGAACTCTGAGTTCTCCTCCTTTGCTTAGAACAGTAATCCTATCAGGTCAGGGTCCCATCCTTGTGCCCTCATTTAATGTTGATTTTGTCTTAATGACACTACTTTTTTTTTTTAAGATTTTTTTTAAATATTTATTTATTTATTTATTATGTATACAATATTCTGTCTGTATGCCTGAAGGCCAGAAGAGGGCGCCAGACCTCTTTACAGATGGTTGTGAGCCACCATGTGGTTGCTGGGATTGAACTCAGGACCTTTGAAAGAGCAGGCACCGCTCTTAACCACTGAGCCATCTCTCCAGCCCCCAAGATTTTTTTTTAAATTAAATTTATTTATTTTTGTTTTTTTGAGACAGGGTTTTTCTGTAGCTTTGGAACCTGTCTTGGAACTGGCTCTTGTAGACCAGGCTGCCCTGGAACTAACAGAGATCCGCCTGCCTCTGCCTCCCTAGTGCTGGGATTAAAGGTGTGTGCCACCACCGCCTGGCAAGATTATTTATTTATTAAGTATGCAGTGGTCTGTCTGCATGTCTGCCTTCAGTCTAGAAGAGGACACCTGATCTCATTACAGATGCTTGTGAGCCATCATGTGGTTGCTGGGAATTGAACTCAGGACCTTTGGAAGAGCAGGCAATGCTTTTAACCTCTGAGTCATTCTCCAGCCATGACACTGTTTCTTATAAAGCCAGATCATAGTGTTTTGGAAGGACACAGCCCAACCCATCAGGGCTCGTCTCTTCCCTTCCTCCTCCGTGCTTCCATTAAGCCTAATAGCCATCTCTTTGTCCGTTTTCTACCCTGCTTCTTGCTCCCTAGTTTAAGCCCTTGTTAACTTTCACTGGGACGGAAGCCTCCTCAAATGCCCTTCTTGACACCAGTTTCTTATTTCTCCAATTCAGCCGTGCCGGTCTTACTAGAGTTCTTGTCCTAAATAAAAGGCCCCTCATGTCATTTTCTCCCCCAAAGCTCTCAATGATATTCCTTTCATACAGGGCATGAGACTCTTCATGTCCAGCCCCTGCCATGCATGCTATGGTTCCATGCTTGAGAACCTGCAAGCATTGGCTGGAGCACTTTCCTCCTCCTTCAGTGGGAACTGTCCTCGTCTTAGTGCTCTCAGAGCAGGTGCTGAAGTCACTTTGACTTCTGGCCCTGGATAGCATGCACAGGGGCATCACTGACGGGTGTGTGTTTTCTGTGTCACTGGGGTTTTCTGACATATACAACAGTTTGGGGTATTCTTGGGAGGGATACAAAGTTAAACTCCTCAAAGGTTTATTTATTTTTGTGTTATGTATATGAATAGTGTTGGCCTGCATTTATGTACGTGTGTTCTGTGTGTCCCTGATGCAGGCAGAGACCAGAAGATGGTGTTGGGTCCCCTGGTACTGGGGCTACAGAAGGCTGTGAGCCACCACGTGGGTGCTGGGGAATTGAACCCAGGTCTTCTGGAAGAGTAGCCAGTGCTTTTAACCACTGAACCATCTCTCCAGTCCTCAAGATAAACACGTTAGAGAGCTAGTCTTGAAGAACGCTCCTGGTGCATTGTGTGTCCTCTGCTAACCTTGGGCGGGGCCAAGTCAGGGAAGTGACCTAGGCCCAGAGTTTGTGGAACTCTGAGCTGCAGCAGGCTCCTTAGCCATGCTGGTTTTCAGGGTCTGCTATGGCCTAGATGCTGTGACCCAGCTCAATCTTTCCTTTCCAGGCCAGCTCACTCATTTTCTCTTTGGATAGGGTCGCTGGGATCTAAATAGCTTCGCCAGGCTGAATCATGGCTAGACGACCCTTCGTCTTAGGTGACCAGTTGATTCTGGAGGAAGATTCTGATGAGACCTACGTCCCTAGTGAGCAAGGTAAGAAGCTCTGGTGGGTTGTGATCGTCCTCTGAGGGCAGACATTATATTTGATTTTACTTACACAATTTTTAAAAAATTAATTTAGGTGTATGGGTGTTTCACCTGCCATGCATATGTATGCTGCATGTATGCAATGCCGGCAAAGGCCAGAAGAGGGCATCAGATTCCCAGGAACTGGAGTTACAGATGGTTATGAGCCACCACATAGGTGCTGGGAACTGAATCTGGGTCCTCTACAAGAGCAGCCAGTGCTCTTAACCACTAAGCCCAACCCCCTGGTTTGCTTTTGTTCTTCAAATACAGTGTTAGTCCATGCTCAGGGCTGCTCAGTATATTTGGGTTAAATCAGAGGATGACAAACTATAGTCTTTGGGCCCAAGTTGGAAAATTTGCTTGTTTTGTACAGAGCTAGTCAAACATAGAAAACCCTGTGTTTCTCTGTGGTTTTGGAGCCTGTCCTGGAACTAGCACTTGTAGACCAGGCTGGTCTCGAATTCACAGAGATCCTCCTGCCTCTGCTTGGGATTAAAGTGCTGGGATTAAAGGCGTGCGCCACCACCGCCCGGCCAATAATTTCTTTAGAACAAGCTAAGGCTGGCATGTTGACATTCCCTGCAATCTAAGCATTTAAGGGGCTAAGGCAGGAGGATTGCTACAAGTTAAAGGCCAGGACTACTGCATGAGAGTGAGGCCAACTTGAGCAACATAGTCTCAAAAACAACAACAAAAGCAACAAGGTTGTGGCTCAGTTGGTGGAGTGCTTGCCTAGCATGTATGAAGCCCTGGGTTCAGTTTTAGCATCTCTTAAATCCGGATACGAAGGTACAGCTCTCAGGAAGATTGTGTGTGTGTGTGTGTGTGTGTGTGTGTGTGTGTGTGTGCAGGACAGTAAGGGAGGATCTACAGTTCACTACAGTGTCACTAGGTGGTGAGTTTAAGGTCCTCTCTTAAAAAAATAGCAAAAAGAAAAACAAAGTAGCATTATTAATTTGTGTTTCTTTGTTTTAGTCTTTGTTTTAAAAACTTCGTATTCATTTCCCTTTCAAACTGCACCGCAAGCCAAGTATAGTGGTGCATGCCTTTACCTTTAATCCCAGTGCTTGGGAGGCAGAGGGAGGATCTCTGAATTCCAGACCAGGCTGGTCCACGAAGTGGGTTCCAGGCCAGATAAGGCTACATAGCGAAATCCTCTCTCAAGCAATCATAACAAAACCCAAAAAGCAACCCCACAGTAGCCCATGAGTCAGGTCCTGTCCTTGTCCCCGCCTGTGAGAGAGGTTCAGGGAGGTTCCTGTAGCTCCACACTGCGCTGAGTGGCAGAGCTGGGCCTTTCCACCCTGAAGTGCTTTGCTGTTCAGGGATTGAACTTTGCTCTGACATTAGGAAGAGTTGTGGACATAGACACAAGTTATGCCTCTGGCTCAGGTAGTTGGTGGATCTGGTAGAGAAGGGTAAGAATACGTGCCCCCTGTGAGTCTAGGATCCCACTCACCTTGTGATGTGCTTCTAGCCTAGTGTGTTTGCTGATTGCCACTTAGACGTCCTAATACTGAATATATTCTTCATTTCTATTTGTTAATTCGTTTTTTAAGCATTTACTTGCTGGAGGGTGGCATGGTGCGCACATCGTGGTAAACCTGTGGAGGTCAGAGGGCAGCTTGCGAGAGCGATTCTCTCCACCCACCATGTGGATTTCGGGAGTTAGACTCAGGTCTTCAGGATCGGTGGCAAGCACCTTTTACCTGCTGAATTATCTTGCGCCAATATTTTTTTTTAATTAATTAATTTATTTATTAAAGATTTCTGCCTCCTCCCCGCCACTGCTTCCCCTTTGCGCCAATCTTTTTTTGAGATCCAATTTATAACAGTCCTGCTTCAGACTCCCAAGTGCTGGGATTACTGATATGAGTCACTGTCCAGCTGTGCTTTTGTTGTTCATGTTCTGGTCCTAGTGATCCAACCCAGATGCAAAGCCCCAGACTCAGAATTAAAAAATAATTCTTTGTGGATTGTTTGTTTATTTTTGTGTATGTTTTCTCTGAGTACATAGTATATGTCTCTGTACCATGTGTGTGTCTGGTGCCCACCGACCCCTCAAACTGGAGTCACGGACAGTTGTAATCCTTCCTGTGGGTGCCGTTAATTGAGCCCTGGTCCTCTGGAAGAGCAGCCAGTGCTCTTAACTGCTGAGCTGTCTCTCCAGCTCAGATTTTGTAATTTTATGTCGTCTATCAGTCTGATGGTGAATAGCCTCTGAGTTCTGTTTGTGTCATAGTTAGAAAAGCTTTCTCCACCAAAAGGAGAACTGATTTCTCTCATGTTCCTACGTCATTAGTGGGATGGCTCATCTCCCTTCTGGCCTGCTGCTGCTGTGTGCATTTGGGTCTGTCTCTAGCCACATGTCGGTGCCACTCGAGTCTCTGTCGGATTGTAATACCGAGTGGGGCTAAAGCACTCTTCCTTGCTGCAGTGTTTCCAGTTTTCTTGGCCAGGCTGTTGTTTTGTTGCCCCATGACTAGGATTATCTATCAGTTCTGGGTAGGGCAGTGTGGGGGGACTGTTGATACCTGGACGTGGAGATGAATATTGGATTGGTTTAGGGGGGGACTGTCATCTTTGTAAAGTGTAAATGTCATATTCCTGTCTATGCATCTTTTTTGTGTTATTCTTTTTTTT